TGCCCTTCAAGTATTAATAAGACATGCCTTTAAAAGCCTTTAAAACCTTGACTATTGAAGAGTTTAGATATTTGAAAGAAAGGCTTCAAACTAATCTTCAGATCTTTCTCTGGAAGGGAAGAAATGAAATGCACGAAAAGCGTTTCGGCGAACACTTTTGATTGCTACTGTAGGTATGATCTTGATGTGGAAATGCTCCCTTTCACTTCAAACACGCTTTGGTTTCTGTTTCCCATTTATTTCCGCCCGTACAGAATCCTTGCCACGCTATAATTTATCCAGGCTTTACATCCTCCTTTGCGCAGGGCTATCGACGTTAACAATGCATTTGTGATAAAAACACTAACGAGGCGATTTCCTCTCGCTTCAATGGATATATTTGTCCTATTTCGAAACCGGCTTGAAGTTGATGGACTTTCTTCTGACCATCCTGTTCAAAGCAACCCTTATCACATTTACTCGTTGACAGTCGGAGAGGAAATGGCTTCTCTAACAATCTTTGTATAGCCTGTCCTTTGAAGTAGGAGTTACCGCTGATACGAAGGGTCACCTTAGAATTCATACCTCCATCACATGCCGTTCCAAGGGCAGAGCTAAACAGGTAAGGTGCTAAAAAGTGGCGGCCAAATGCCCAAGGGTTATCCGTCCAACGTCGCTAAAGCCTCGTTTTTGCAGAAACCGTTCTGAAACGTTTTTCGCTTTAGTTCTTTGCAGCATGCTTCAGAATCGACCACAAGTTGACTGGTCAATTTTTAGCTTCCACTAGAGGCAATAAACTAGCCCGATGTGGAATGGACAAACAGGCTTTTGGCCATCGCTTCGCTTGAATGTGTGATGTGGCGTCGCAATGTTGGCTAGAACCTCGTCCTACATTATGGCAAGCTTTCACTTCAATACAGGAAGACAAGTCTGTCTGTGGTTTTGGGAGGAGTGAGAAGTTTGGATTCGAATGCACCTGTGTCACAGACACTCGCAGATATTGAATTTCGGCGCTATCGCAGTATACGGGGCAGTAAGGTGGCTTTCCACTACCAGGGAAGGATGAAGGGTCGAAGTGGCCATATGAAATGAGACAAATATCATGGTATGTAGTTTCGGACGCTGATCTCGAATCTTCTTCCCAAATCTGCCAAACGATTCGCTGAAGGGAGTTACGGAGGTTTTTTGTTTCCTCACACGGTTTAACACAGTGAGGAATCTGCCTCAGCAGCAGCGGCTCACGAACGAAGCAGTGAGCCTTCAGGCAGCACGCTTGTGCCGTGCGTAAACGTGCTTCGGCATTTCGTGTCAGTGTTCGGATCCTTCGCGTGTTTTTCCTTTTGCATTTTTGTGACTGATTATTTGGCAGTAGTGAAACATGATTCCCTCATCATTGGTCAGCCCTACTTGCTTTTGGATGAGTTTGAGGTCGATAACTTCGAAATTTTTCCTAACTTGCATGCCACTGCATAAGGGTTAAGGCGCGCCAGTATACGGAGCGCGCTTCAGCCGTTTTTGAGTGAACGAATGTGAGATCTGTGTTCAAGTAGTCCAATAACTCCCCTGGGGCCGATTTCTAGAAAAATTCCAGATTTTCAATTAACTTCAAGAAAAGTGGGCGAGTCACTCATTGATGCCACATGTCCATAGCCGGTAGTTCAGGGTTGACTTATTTTGGACGACGGCGACCCTTCAAATTTGAAAATAATAAAGTGCGGGTGTTGAAATCACGCGAACAGAAAACCAGACACTGCTTTACACTCTTCAGAAACCAAAAAAAAACTTATATCGTCTCAAGGCTATATAGGCTTCGATGATAGGCTGATGGATGAATGGATAGATACCCACCTTATTTCGAAATTTGGTCGAAATCTCAAATTTGGCTACAAACTTGTCCCTAGGGGTATTTTAATCTCCGAACACGAATATCACACTTGTTTGCTGCAAAAACGTCTGCCAAGAGTTCTGTGGGCTCCATGTGCAGTCTTTAGTAAGTACCGCTCAAACTGGTTAGAAACTCCTCGCAAAGTCTTTGCACGGGTGACTACAGGCAAGCATTGATCGAGTAAAGTTGGGAGCCTTTTCATCCATTTTGCAGCGAAGGCAAAAAAGAGAACCCGCCAGGGAATCGATCCTACGACGTCTCGCACGTGAACCCGGACTACTACCGCTGCACTACTTTCCTTCATAACTCCATTCGGAAAATCGTTTGGCAGATTTGGAAAGCAGATTCGAGATCAGCGTCCAGAAAACGCATCCACCGGTGTGGGTCTCTTTACATATGGCCACTTCGACCAATCATCCGTTCCTGGTTAGAACCACTGCTAAGACCTTTTTGCATAAAAAACAGGACTAAGCCTCAAGCAGGGGAGGGGAAACTCCAGGGTGCGTGAGCAATTTTCATTTTTCCTCAGTTCCTTGCGCCCCTCCTAGGTTCAGTCCTAGAGGATGCCTGCATCATGTGGTAGCGCCTAAATTTCTTTCTGGTGCAGTTCAATCAGATGAATATTTAGTTGTGGTCTCTATGACTAAACAACTTCATTAGGCTAAACTCTCTGAAATCACCAACATAAGTCCTTCGAGTTGTGCGCTTGCGTCGCTGCTGCATTAGTCGAGGCGAATAGACCGAAAACTTAGCCTAATAAGGTTATTTAGTCTTGGATGGCTGCATCTAAAAATATTCATTTGAGTAAGCTATGCTAGTATTAGAAGAAGGTCTATCATGGACGATTCCTTTCACAAACAGCTGTGTTCCCAGAAAAGATCTCCATGAAAGGGGAGAGCAGTACTCTTCATATCATTTTTTCGCGTATTTCGGCATGAGCAAAGTGTAGTCGTACCACGCTCGACACCGAGTCGGTACCGGAATCTGTGCTCACGTCCACTAAGCCCTCGACACATTTGGAGTCGGTCAAATGCTAATTGTTTCGTTGGAGAGGATGAAATCGCTGGCCTATGCATGAACTGACTCCAAAACTCATTGTATGAAGCGTTTTCTTCTGAAAAAAAAACTACGTCTGAAAAGAAATCAATCGAGAGAGTAGTGCGTTTGGAAGAGAAAGTCAACGCTGAAATGATTCCTAACGAGTTCATGGCTTTGGGGCTTTGCGGAGGGGGGGGGAGCATTCTGGAAAGAGGGCATTCAAACCGATGGTAATTGACCGACTAAGCCTACGAGAGGAAAGAAACGCTGAGAAGCAACAAAAATTGCTCACATGCTTGCCCAGAATCCTTCCTCTTTTTTGGCTTAATCCCAAGTAATGTAAGTGGCTCACTCGCATGAATGTACACTTCTTTTCGACGACATGAACCCCTTACTTGTTCGTATACTTTGCTATCCTCAGGCTGATCATTCCTATTGCCTACGAAACGTAACAGCCCTCGAATTGGGTATTTGTGAAGACGCAAGGACTTTTTGGTGCCATTGTGGGCTTATGAATACACCAGGCGCTGACGCCACAGTCTCGTTGTCGGCTAGTGATACGTTCTCTCTTCGGCTATCCTCGACTGCAGTTAGACACGAAAAGCGCTAGTGATGTCTTCTTCTATAGTCTCAAGGATCAAGAAGTGGTACTGAGGAAGTGCAACGACACTTCCCTCAGTACCAGTTTATCCTTGATCCTCAATACGGCCGCACCTGACTGTCAGTCCTTGAGCTTTCCCCTTCCTTTGGGTTTTTTGGGCGATTTTATATGTTGAAAGAGGCAGAGACCACGATTGATGGAGGGCGGTGCGGTTTTGACGACATCATTGAACATTTTTGATGGACTAGACCCCTCAGGGCGTTGGGGTGCGCTTGGAACCGCCTCTTGAATCACTTTCACCAGCGGCGTTCAATGATGTTATCTGAATCGCAACGCTCTCCAGCCTCAATACCTCAGAATTTTAGGCGAATTTGGCCGCCACTTCTTGGCTCACTTACGGCGCAGTTGTCTACCTAACCATCCCTTGCTTGTGCTGCTTAGTTTCGATGCTTCCTATTCCGTCCTTATATTGTCCTTTGCCTTCGGCAAGCGTTATGTGCGCGACAGAAAGCGAGGAGATGCCGCGATTTCCGCTATCGAACGAATGCATTGCGTCCTGTTCCTTCGTCATTTAACACGATCATCCCTTCGGCAGCATTTCATTGCCATTCACCGCAGCCGTCGTTCGCTTCGTTCGTCTTTTGCTGTCCTTGTCACTATTAGCACTACTGGATGTTCATAAGGAGGGGGGGGGTGTCTTGTGATGAACGCCATTCCCAGAGTTTTGTGCAATGAAGAAATTCGTCTTGGCTTTCTAGGATGCGCCACGCATTCCACCTTCATTCAGATTCTAGTGGCATTTTAAATGTGATTTGGCCTATACAATGACTTGCGGGGGCCAGCCGATGTACAAGTCAGTGTTTTCCTCCCAGACAAGTCTGGTACCAATTAACCGACCCCGGAGGGATGGAAGGCTTGGTTGGCCCGGGCGACTCACGATGCCAAATCTTGATCACTTGGACCGTGTGTGTGTGATAAGCAGCGCCTCTTGCCGCTGCACCACTTTTCCCTTGGCTAGTTCTGTTTTTGATTTGTTTGTTTCGTTTATTAACAAGTGGTTTTCACCGCGTACGGGAAGGCGGTGCAAAAATTACCGTTTTTCGTACCGTAGTCGAGCTTGACCAAGTTCACATTGTTTTTCTCTTACTTAACATCAAATTGATCACCATAAAATAAATACAGAGTGTGAGGCGTTTATCAACCACTTTTGAAATACGCCACGCATTTGGCTTCTGTTCTTTATTTCCATGGTGTTTGAATGCGTATTTGGCCTTTTCGATGGCATGCTGCGGGGCCAGGCGTTTTTTACCGCTTCGCAGGCAGGCCAGTAATATAATAATTAACCGACATTGGAACGACGGAATTCCTGATTGGTCTGGGCGGGTTCAAATCCCCCAAGTATCTCGTGACGTATATTAGCTACCAGGCCACTTTCACGCAACGTTGCATTGTTCCTTGGTCTAGGTTGCTTGCAAGGTTTGATGCGATTTTTTTTGTTGCTTCCGCCGGAATTTGATCCTGTATCTCGTGCTCACCAGGCGAGTCTGCTAACCATTACACTACTGATGCTGTGCTCCGAATCAATTTAGCTTTCATGTTTGCTGTGACCTGTTTGCTATAACTTCATATGTGGTAAACCGGTGGCCCGTGAGCGTTGGCAGTGAGCCGTGGAATGGAAAACTTTAGGTACTCTCGGTTTCAGAAAACCAGAAGTCCGTCGAGTGCAGACCACACACCACAAGTGACGACGGCCTCCACAAAATGTAAATGTTTTCTGCCAATGAAATGATTAGCCTGTTGCAGTTGTATTCTATCAGTTGTCACTAATTACAACTATCATTTACCAACTATCAGCTATCACTATGAATCACTAGTTACCAGATTTACTTGGAGGCCGTCGTCACTTGTGGTGTGTGGTCTGCACTCGACGCGCTTCTGGTTTTCTGAAACAGAGAGTACCTAAAGTTTTCCATTCCACGGCTCACTGCCAACGCTCACGGGCCACCGGTTTACC